CCCCCCCCCCCCCCTCTGTTTAAGGGAGATTGCCCCCTAGATTGTTGTATCCTTCATTGATATATAAACAATTACATGTGTATGATTTATGGTCAGACTAATCTGGTGCTTGCGACCCATTCGCAATCTACTGAGCGGCAAGCTCACCTCCTTACCGGTGTTGGGCTGGTGCAGGGAGGGTAGCAGCTCGGACTGAGAAGTCACTGGGAATGGGCTGAGGTCTCAACATATCAGACTTGACTGCCCATTGTTGAAGCTAACCTAACAACTATTTGGAGTTTGGACCCTGGTATAGTAAAAAAGCAGATCAAGTCGACGCATCTATTTTGCAGATCAAGTCGATTGCTGCTATTTTGGGGTCTTCCGGTTTAATTATGTCTCCATCCAATACATGACCCAAATACAACACCTGACTCTTGGCCCAGTCACACTTCTTCAGACGCTTAAAGGTTGAGACACAGTCCTTGTCCCACTTCTAGACTGTTTCTTTTCTCAACAACCTAGGCAACAGAGCAGCTATTACAGGGAAGTTCCAAATGAACTTGCGGTAATTGTTGGCCAAACCAAGGAACGATCGTAGTTTTGTCAAAGTACGCGGTGCCGGCCAGTCCCTGATTGCTGCTATTTTGGGGTCTTCCGGTTTAATTTTGTCTTCATCCAATACATGACCCAAATACAACACTGGACTCTTGGCCCATTCACACTTCTTTGGGTTCAACTTAAAGTTAGCTTCACGCAACTCACTCAATACTAACCAAAGTCTGAAGCAAACAGTCCGTGGTCACGTGGTACCAGTACGAATTCAAGCCAAAGGAAGCAGAAGCTCGGACGAGTCGAGGCGCAGTCCAAGTCAATATAAGGACTGGCCAGCCACATTTCAAGGAGACTTGCTCATTCGTGAGAAGTGTGGAAGTGCTGCTGAAGCGATTGTGCGCTATCTGTGAGTGGCATGCGCGAGAGCCCTGGCTGGGCAGCGCTGTGCTGAGGATGGAAGGCAGCCATAGCCGCATAGCTAGTTGTAAGGGATAGAGCTGAGTAGTAGCAGATGTATTCAGAGTCAAATACTCAAGTAGAGAGAGGGAGAGAGTGAGTGCATGCATCAAGAAGAGAGAGAGAGAGAGAGAGAGAGAGAGAGAGAGAGAGAGAGAGAGAGAGAGAGAGAGAGAGAGAGAGAGAGAGAGAGAGAGAGAGAGAAAAAGAAAAAAAGAGAGAGAGAGAGAGAGAGAGAGAGAGAGAGAGAGAGAGAGAGAGAGAGAGTCGCCTACCTTAGATGAGGATCCTATAATTGGGTTGCTGAACTTGACGCTGATGAGCGCTGGTGGCTGGAACTCTGAAACTGCTTAATATGATGATTTGTTGGAATTTCTAAGCTGTGCTGTTCTGGACTTTGCATCTCTGGTCTCCAGTGTTCTGTGTGATCTTTCAATGTGTGTGCGTGCTCAAGGTGACGAGCAGTGAGGCTTAATGCCATTGGTATCAGAGCTAGTAACTTGCTGCATCCGCTGTTGAGGATCGCTGGCGGGATTCAGGCCGACGAGATGAGATTTGGAGTTGGACTTTGGGGCTGAAGGCGGAAGAAGAAGTGGCCGGGTTCGGGGATGGAGATTATGTACCTCTGTGTCCTAACAACGGGCAACGGACGAAATTAAACGCCGTTGTACCCGTTGAATAGCCCCCGGAGCCCCCATTGAATCTGGCTTAACGGGAAAACGGAGGTCTCCCGTTGAATCTGGGAAAATGGATTGGGTGCGTTGGGCCTCAGACACGTGGCCCTTCGCACCCAAACACTAAAACCAGAAAAGAAATTAAAAAAGTTAATCCCCCCCTATGAGTCCCCAAACCTACCTGGAAGCCCTTTAAACCACTACGAGCCCCAAATCCCCCTTCCCCCGCCTGCCCCATCCTGCTGCCTGCCCCATCCTGCCACCCGCCCCATCCTGCCGTCCCTAAACCTACCCGGAAGTATGTGTGTGTTTGTAAGTGTGTGTGTGTGGACGCGTGATCGTTGGTGTGTGTGTGTGTGTGTGTGTGTGTGTGTGTGTGCTGTGTGTGTGTGTGCTGTGTGTGTGTGTGCTGTGTGTCTGTGTGTGTTTACGCATGTCTTTTTTTCCTTTCTTTAATTGTTTTTATGTTTTTGATTGTTTTTAACATACATGAAAGTTCAAAAAAAGACAAAAAAACATGTTGTTGTACATCTTTAAAAAAGCTACAACCCTAAATCTTTTATTTGTTTTACTGAATTTTTTTAACCCTAAAAAACCTTTGTGAAACCAAAACAAAAAGAACAATCATTTCATCTTTTGCTGTTTGTTTTTTCATTGCATTTATGTTTTTAAATTTTTAAAAATATAGTCAAAGCTAAAGAAATCAAAATAAAAATATGGGGTAACCCTATATATATATATATTTTTTGGATTACTTTTAGCCTACACAAAAAATGTTCGCGGTCCCCGTCGTAACCCGTCTAATGGGCTTTTCAACGGGGATTCAACGTTGTTTCAACGGTGTCGAATTTTTCAACATGGAACAAGCGTTGAATCAATTTCCGGACTCATAGACGTACCTATAAACATGGAGCAATCAACTGCATCAAAGGAGTGTTCACAAGCGAAGTGCATCACGCCCCTAAGCCCTGTACTTGCTTTGATGAATGAATGAGTGTCATGGTACCTTCCCACATCTTGGTGTCACTGCTGCTGGACAAGAACACTTGGTGATATATCAGATTTTGTCTTGAGTCAACATCTGGTGAGACGTGTATGAAGTAGGTCATGTCTAGGCTAGAATCTTGGCAGCTGGATGTATCACCCGAAAAATAGCTAGCATGGGCATGAGCGGCGAGTCCCGATAAAACAACTCGTATAGCCTTAAGACCGGTACTGAGCGGCATGGGACTGAACTGGACCTAACGCAGGGAGGAGCTGTAAGTCTTGAGAGCGGACCTTCAAATCCTGGTGGGCAGGACGTCCTGTCTGCGTCGTTAAAGAATTCTTGAGGTCCTTGCTGGTTGAGCTTAAGCAACTGGTTGCCAACCAGCCTGACAAGGTAGCTGTAGTGACACTGTGGGGAGGGACAAACTCAGGTTGGACTCCAATCTAGATTCGTTAGATGAAGTGTTGAGTGATAGGTCTACGTGGTGAGGAGGTGGAGGCTACTTACTTGTGCCTTTAGCCACCATGGATGATTATCCGATGTTCACAATGTTGACCTTGTTCGTGTTATGGGCCCCCCTTCTCCGATTCCTGTTTCCTCTAGGATTCCACCAGACATGTGGCATGAGTGTAACCACGAGGTCTGGTGGGACTACACGACCATGTACCGCAGATCAATAGGTAGAGATCAATAGGAAGTTGGTTGAGAAAAAAAAAGAGGAGGAGAAAAAGAGAAAGGAGGAGGAAGTTAAAAGGAAATTGGAGGAGTTAGAAGTTGAGGAAGAAAAGGAAGAGAAAAAAAAAATAATAATAAAAAATAATAAGAATAATAAGAAAAAGAAGAAGAAGACAAAGGTGGATTTGAGAGAAGGAGAGCCCAACTAGGAGGGGAGGAGATGACGGACAGTAGCCACGCTGGAGAACTGAGACGTAAACAGATTGGAGACTTAAACTGGGTGGAGGAATTTTGGTACCTGGCAGAGCTTCCAGAGGAAACTGACGAAGAGAGAGATTGATTTGTGGCGAAGTTAACAGCAACTAAGGATCAGGAGGAAAGGAATCTGTTGATTGAGGAGAAGAAGAGTGAGCTGAACCAAAAGTTGCTGGCCACGAAAAGAAAAAAGTTTAATGAGAAGAGAAGGTTGACGTAGGAAGGGGAGAGACTCCAGGCGTTTTTGAAGGGGCAGAAAGGGAAACACGTGGAAACTGTGGAACATTGAAACCTTCTTACTGACACTCTGTTGCATACCGCCTAGGAACTCTTTGCACTTCAACGAACCGTTGGGAAGATAGAATGACACCAGGATAAGTTTTAGGGCCCTTGGAACAACTACCTTAGTGCGTCGTCCATCTAACTGGACCATAGGGTCCTACAATATGCACGCCAACTAAATTATATTTTCACTTAGAAACTGACTAGCACCATCGTTGCAGTTAAGGTAGGTGGCAATGGCGGGGGTAGAGACGGTGGCGGTGGTGGAGATGATGACAAAAAAGGGAAAGGTCCCTTGAAGGATTGAGGAAAGAAAGATGAGGGAGACAAGTTTGAGGGGGGAGAACAAAGGGAGAAGATGAAGGTTAAACCACCAGTACACCCTAGGCTAAATGTATGAGCCTAAATTTGAATTTTGCCAAGCCTGCAAGCGGTGTACAACCACTGGGAAAATTCAGGGCAGTACCGGTACCAGAGTTCGCAACCAGGATTTTTAGGAATAAGTGTAACTAAACTAACCACATAATTTTCGAAAACCAACCAACTGTAACCACTGTATAC